CCCCTACCCTTCCCCACTTAAATATCATGCTTTTGTATGTCACAGTTCCAGAACTGTGACATGTGCCTAACCCACACATCACCCAATTTGTTCTTAGTTCTTGCCACTAGACCAAGGCCATGGGACATAGATTTCCTTTTAAATATAAGTTAAGGAAACTCCTTTTACATAATACTATTTCTAGAGGTGGGTAAACGGATAAATAGGAAATCACTTTGGTTGTCAAATCATCTATTCACTCTTTGACACTTTTCATCTCTATCTTGCAAATAATTCTGATGGGTCAATACTTGAGCATATATTCCTATGCAGTAGCCAGTAGGTACATAATCCTACTCCTCATCATAATTACCAGCCTTTACTAATCTATGAGATGAGAAAATGCAAATATGTAAATCTGCTCACGTTTCATTAGTGGAATCATAGTTGCTGCCCCTAACCATTCTATTCAACCATGCAAGTTGATATTACCAATAATTTAATCCTCCATACAGAAAGATATTGATACATAAATAGGTATAAAATAATAATAACCGGCTACATTTGAAGTGATGTTTATTGGCATGTCTAGTGGAGGAAATTACACGGTTCACTCCTGAAAAGATGGTGCTTGAATAACAAATGGCTAAATTAGATACAAACCTCAGGTGCCATCCACCGGTACGTCCCAGTTTCTGCCGTCATCATCTCAGTGAGGGTCTCTTCCCTAGCTAGCCCAAAATCTGCAAGCTTCACAGACTTCTGATTGGCCGTGAGCAACAAATTGTCTGCATAAATGACATTTCCAGATGTGCCCTTTGTTAGACAGGAAACAATTAAAAAAAGAAAGCAGACTAAAATATGAAATAGGAATGGTAATAAGAGAGTGATGGCAACTTAAGAATAAAACTCCAAGTTAGCAGCATAAACTGACCCGTACATCAACTAAGAATGAGTTTGCTATCCAATTTTGGCTTCCCTATATATTGAGATTCTTTTTACAAAAGGAAGAAAGATTTGAGATGGCAAGCAATGAAGTGAAATATATACCACAATGTCTGCACTAATAACTTCTTCCTTCAATGGTACTTAGATTACTGACCATAGAAGAGCCAACATAAAATGAAAAGATAACCCAGAAAAAGAACTATTCCAGCAGTAAAATATTGATGGATAAAAGAATATAGGCCAAAACCATAATATTTGGCCTGTTTAACATTTCAGTGGATAACTACAATAACAAAAAGAAAAAAAAGTCTTGTACAGCTCGGCTAGCCAAGTGGTACCAGGTTTTAGATCTCTATGTATAATGCCATTGGCATGTAAACATTCCATGGCCCGAGCAATGTCAAGCGCATAATTTAAGGCGACATGAAGGTCAAGCACTTTTGGACGAATGCTGACTAAGTACTTCCGAAGGGACATTCCAGGCAGCAGCTCTGTCACTATAACCATTAAAGGATCCTTGCAAGCTCCAATAAACTGCAAACAAGAAATCAGAATTTACTAGCTAACACCATATGGCTTGCTAAACTTAACAAAAGAAAGCTGCTCAAGGGAAGTTAAAAGCACTTTGAAAAGATAAACAGAATAGTACTATTTTGGAGTCTAGTGAAGTCGGAAGAGAAAGAAAACGATACTTACTTTTACAAGATTCTCATGTTTTACTCTTGACATCATAACAACCTCCCGAACAAAACGGCTTCCAAGTGAAGCTCTTTCTTCCGAGGTTTTACCGCCATTTAGAACTTTTATCGCAACAATTTGATCACCATACCTGGAGAGACATGAAGCATTTTTTCCGATAAATGGAAAATGTACAATAAAACCAGACAACAGATAATCCAAAATATAACAAAAAGCACAAATATTTTCGATCTTCATGTTGTTTAAATGACAGAAATTGTTGTGTTTGACGGCTTCTCAAGACAAAATGAAAATAGCCAAACTAGAAAAAACCATAGGAAGAAAATAGTTACTCTCAGTTACTATATAAGACCCAACGAATATATCAATCTCAAATGGCAAGCAAACTCTCATGTTACATTTTCTGACTAAGATAGCATTTACCTAACTAGTAAACCAATGGAACAGTAACACTGGTCAATCACCTAAAATAAAATCCACAAGTAACAGCATCACAATTTTCAAGTAAGTGGCAGAACAACAATGACGATCAACACTACATTAAAAAAAATGATGGGTAACATTGCACGAAAGGCGTTACATACCTTCCTTCATAAACTTTTCCATGAGCTCCCTCACCAATTTTGGTTCCGATAAAGAGTTGTTTTGGATCCACCAACACTCTCTCATCAATAGATAATTGATTTGAGGGTACTACTGATGATCCATTTCGCGATACGCCTTCAACGTATTTCTGTACACTACCAACAGGATTTTCTTCCTCTTCTCTTTCTCTACTCTTCTCACTGCAACTCATGGTTGCAAAATTCTCAATCAGATTATCCCTGAATGCCTCATCCTCACCTCAACCCTTTGATCCTACAAATTACTTGCAAATAACCATTCTGTCCCCATCACTCAAAAAGTCAATACTCTCTTCTCATGTTACAATATGAATATTTGATCCTAGAAAACACTTGAACCCTCATAAGCAAAGCTTCTTCCTTTTAACTTCCTAATAAGTCCACCAACAAGTCCAAGAATTTATAACCAAAATATGCCTCCAAAATTTCACTTTCATTCAAAACTTCAAACACCCAAAAGATCTAAAAATGCAAAAGAAACTCGAGAATCACATAAAAAGATAACCCTTTTCTTGAAAAAGAAAAAAAGAAAGAATTGATTTTTAAACTAAAATCAAGAAACTAGCAGTCTTTGGATAGTGTGCAGATTAAAACAACCCCCAAAAATAAAAGCAAGAACCTTCAAAGGAAGCAACAAGAGGAGCTAAAAAAGAAACTTATAGTGGCAGCTAAAAGAAAATATATAAAAAAATATGTATACTATTAATACAAATTTCATGCATAGATAAGGACCTAACAAGCAACTCTAAAGACCCCCTATAAAGCTTTGATCTTTACTCTTCTTTTTTTGTCTTTTGGTCCCCTTTTTGGGGGGGATAGGGGTGGGTTTGAAAACGGGGGGTGGTGGGTTAACTTTGTTTTTGTACTTCAAGCTCTTATCTACAATTGAAATGGCGTTCCTGTGAAGATATTCTGGGAGAGTCTATTTTCCGAGTGGAGAGAGAGAAAAGTTGGGGAATAAATGTGAATATTAAAAAGAAAGCACGTTTAAAGTACACCAAATGGGAATTAAACACGTGGAGAGCACTGAGAACACTTTGGAATATTATTAGCATTAAGACATTAGAGGATTTGGACATTGTTAGTTGAGGATGCTTTGGAAAAAAGACAAGAGACCTTTCTTTCTCTCTTGACTAACTAATTGGCTTTTTGTGATGTGCGTTTTTGGTGTTTGATATTTGCATTTTGAGTCCCACTTAATTTGGATCCGCATAAGACTTATTAAAAAGGGAAATGTTTTCTATGAGAATATTTTTTATTCGTAAAATTTAAATCGGAGACCTTTGATTAAGGATGAATTTTTTTAATTTATTTTACCATAATCCTTGGTGTATGTGCAATTTTGTTGACTTTGGACGGGTCAAGAGGTCACAATTTAAAATTTATTGTTACGATTTTAAATTTTAATTTTTTAGTAATAAATTGTGGATGATGACCATAACAAACAAAACAAATACACCTAAAAACTAATTATATAACTTGTTAATAAAAAAAGAACATCTATGAGAACTTTTTGAAGATCTCAATATATCTGTTTACCCGAAAAACGGATAGAGTTGATTTTATACGCAATTCTAAGGGTGCGTGGTATAACTTGGTACAAATTAGAAAAGTAAGTAAAAATATGTCAAATATTGACTGTAAAGAATTAAATACAAACCAAATTGATTGGAGAATGATTTATGTGTGAAGCTCATAAAGGATAATCTCTATTGTATTTCTCTATGAATATCAATAATATCTGAATTTGAGAGTGTATGAGTGCCTTAATGTCTTCTCCCCTACAGAAATAATATGCATCCCTCTTATAGTGGAGGGATCCTACTTTATATATAAATAAAAATACATAGTGGAGATCCCATGATAGATTAATTTTTTTCTAATTCCCGCCGAGATTCTCTCCCTTAGTGCGGTTGTAACGGCTCTTGTCTCTTGGCTCGATCTTGATCGGATTTGGTATTGGTCGATTTCCAGATTTAGAGCTCGATATTAACTCGAGCTCGATATTGACTCAGGGCTCGGTATCGACTCGGGCTCGATATTGGTCGATCTATGGCTCTTAAACTCGATGACATCGCTTCACATCATAGTTCGATTTAGACTCGAGCTCGATAATAACTTCGAGCTCGGTATTTGATCGGTTCCTGAAACTCGAGCTCGGTAACCTGGCTTCAAATCTCATCTCGATATTATGAAGATGCTCTTTGGTCCATTATGTTCCAATCTTGACCAATCATACGAAGGTCGAAATCAGTTTTGACCGTATACAGATAGTCCCCTCATTTCTCGGGAAGGATGTGGCGAGAAACGACATGATTTTCCAACGGCATGACTAGATATACACTGATGTTTGCATCGAGCCCGACCATGACGTATGTGATAGATGTTCCGTCGGTTCAGTTACCAATGCATTAAATGCGTGTCAGACGATGGTCGGCCATTGCTGATATTGAACCGTCATTGCCAACCCTATAAATAGCTCATCTTTTTACCATTTTTTACTTTTACACCTCCAATCTCCGAATCTTCTAAGTTCTTTTTCGCATCTTCTAAGTTCTTCATCTGTAAATCTGTGATTTTTACTGCAAAATCCCTCTTTAGAACACCAAATCTTGTCATCTTCCTCTATCTTTAATCTTCAAATCCAAATGGCAAAAATGTCAAAAATTGTTCCTCAAAAAGAAAAAGCTTCTTCTTCGCGGGCCGCCGGCGACAAAACACCGGTGGAGCCACGACCCAAGGAGTATGTTCCCGGGGTGTGTATTCTTACCTCTGATTTTAAGATCGACAAAGCTTCGCCGGTTCCCGGTCGATACGATCCAGTATCGAGGTACATGTACTCAATAACTGAGGGATATCTTAAACAGGTAAGGAAAGATTGCAACTGGGAGAACAAAGAAGTGATAATCCCGGCTCCCGAAGAAGATATTACTACTCATGTGAAAGGGTTTTTAAGTGTTTATACTTACCCTTTCACGTTGGGCCCCCTCGACCCAGTTGTCATCGATTTTTGCCGCCAATACCAAACAACCCTAGGCCAAATCCATCCTTCCTTTTGGCGAATCATTATTTTGATCCGCTTCTTCGTGAACAAAGTCGAGGGGATGCCTTTCACCCTCGACCATCTTATCAGATTGTACAGCCTCCGCCTCTATCGAGGCGGGTTAATGAAACTCCAGTGCCAGGCTAACAAAGTACTATTCTCGAGCATAGACGAGGACAAGGACCGAGGCTGGATGGGCAGGTTGTTTCGAGTGAAGACTTCCGACCTAATCCCGGTCGAGAAGATGCCATTTCCCGAGGAATGGAACATGAAGCGTAAGTATAATTCTATTGTTAGCTCATATTGTTTTGCTCCTTTGTTTCTTTCTCACCGATATCCTTTTCCGTGGTGTAACGGTTGCTTGGATGCTCGGTGTTATTCCTAACCTTAAGAGTTGGTTACGGGACCTAACTTCGACCTCCACATATGCCAAGTGCTCGTGGCGCGACTTATCAAAGGGCCGATGGGAGGCTAAAACTCATGGTAAGCCTCTTTCCCATGTCTTCGATGATTCGAACAAGATGTCTTTTTTATACTTAACCAATTTTCTTGTGTGTAGGCCGGGGCAAAGATGCGGTCATGAGGCCCCCGTCTGGCGAGGAAGAGACTTCGGCCTCGGTTCCGAAACCAGCGAAGGACAACAAGAGAAAAAGGGCCTCTACTTCCGAGGATCCAAAACTTAAGACAAGGACGGCTCGTAAGCCGAGGATGAATACCATCCCTTTGATCAAAGAATCTGTTCGGCCTCTAAGGGATGAAGACGAAGAATAAGAAGAAGAAGAATAAAACGACGGCTCCATATTGGTGGCCCGAGTGCTGAAACCCATCGATGCCCCAAAGGCAGCTGGGTCGATGGCGGTTGATGAGGCTCCGTCTCAAACTGAGGGGATATCGGAGAAGGACTCAGGCAAAGTCCCCGAGTTGTTGGAGATCGAGGATGCCTCCCACCGAAGTCAACAAACGGTGGGTATATCTGAAGGGGCTAGCCCTGAAGCACTTCGAACTGAGGAGAATGCCCCAAGCGACTCGCTTGGGGCAATAGTAATCGGAGACTCGCCTACTCTCCATGCTTTTTCCGAAGGGGCGATTCGGGAAGCCCGATCTTTGGGGACCCTCGAGGTTGACGGGGCCCATGAGGGAGAGGACCACTTTCATGATTTGTTTATTGGTATCGAGGATGCTGCCGGCCCGAGTGATGCATCGGGTCTTTTCTTCGAGGCGCAACGAGCCTTGAATCAGGTAAGTCTCAATTCCCTTTGTTGATGTCATATTTTTCCATTTTCTGACTAACTTTTTCTCTTTTTCATATAGGCTTTAGCTCTTCATCAAGAGGCATTTTCCAAGTCTCGGGCAGAGCTGAGCCGATGTGAGGCCGACTTCCTAGGGCTTTCGGAGGTGAGAAATGTCCTCAAACTTCTTAGTGGGTAGAAAGAGGAAGAGGTCAAAGATATTCAAGCCGAGTTAGCCAAGGCTGACCAAGATTAGACAGACCTGATCGAGCAGGTAATGAAAATTTTAAAAGCTCATGGGCTCGACTTGGGAACGATGGCTAACATTTCAATCTCACAGTTGCAGCAGAAGATCGAGAGGATCGAGCAATTTCGTGAGGAGGTCGACACGATAAAGGCGGAGTCCTTGAGATGGAAAGAAGGTATAGATCGTCTTGCTGCAGAGAAAGAGACAGATCGAGCCCAATTATCATCGGTCGAAAGTCAACTTCAAGGCATGAAGGAGAAGAGCTCGGCTCAAGCAAGAAAAATAGAGGAGCTCGAAGCTCGGTTGGCTTCCGAATTTTCCAAGGCCGAGGCGGATGCAATCGTGGCCGTCTATCAGGCCGATGCTGAAGCCGCCCAAGTACAAGCGAGAGAGGCAGCCGAGACCGCTCAAACTCGAGCATATTGGGTTGCTGAACTCGCCAAATGCCAATCTCGGAGGAAAACCCTCAAGGAGAGCCATGCTCGAGGTTTCGACCTTACCGAAGAGATAATAAAGGCTAAAGAACTTGAAGCCGATGCTGGAGCCCCGACTTTCGATGATGATGATGATGATGATGATGAGAGCAAGAGTGGGTCTGAGAGTGGGGAGGATCCCGTAATCTGAGACTCGCCTACTCTCCATGCTTTTTCCGAAGGGGCGATTCGAGAAGCCCGAGCTTTGGGGACCCTCGAGGTTGACGGGGCCCATGAGGGAGAGGACCACTTTCGTGATTTGTTTATCGGTATCGAGGATGCTGCCGGCCCGAGTGACTCATTGGCTCTTTTCTTCGAGGCTCAACGAGCCCTGAATCGGGTAAGTCTCGATTCCCTTTGTTGATGTCATATTTTTCCATTTTCTACCTAACTCTTTCTCTTTTTCATATAGGCTTTAGCTCTTCATAAAGAGGCGTTTTCCAAGTCTCAGGCAGAGCTGAGCCGATGTGAGGCCGACTTCCGAGGGCTTTCGGAGGTGAGAAATGCCCTCAAACTTCTTAGTAGGCAGAAAGAGGAAGAGATCAAAGATCTTCGAACTGAGTTGGCCAAGGCTTACCAAGATTAGACAAACCTGATCGAGCAGGTAATGAAAATTTTAAAAGCTCATGGGCTCGACTTGGGAACGGTGGCTAACATTTCAATCTCACAGTTGTAGCAGAAGATCGAGAGGATCGAGCAATTTCGTGAGGAGGTCGACACGATAAAGGCGGAGTCCTTGAGATGGAAAGAAGGTATGGATCGTCTTGCTGCAGAGAAAGAAACTGCTCGAGCCCAATTATCATTTGTCAAAAGTCAACTTCAAGGCATGAAGGAGAAGAGCTCGGCTCAAGCAAGAAAAATAGAGGAGCTCGAAGCTCGGTTGGCTTCCGAATTTTCCAAGGCCGAGGCGGATGCAATCTTGTCCGTCTATCGGGCCGATGCTGA